CTGCTCCTCTGATGCTGCTTGGCCTGCTGTGTTCATCCAGCTCTACACTTTGTTATCTCTCATCTATGCTAACTTCTTTAAGTATATCACAGTCCTTCTCCCTGATTTCTAGACCCACATTGTTCCCCTCATCGTGAACATTGACACAAAGTAGTCATTTAGAACCCTACATATGTTCTTTGGCTCCAAACACAAATTACCCTAATGGTCCTAATGTGCCTTATTCTTTTCGTAATTAACCATTTACTGTTCATGAATTGTAAAATAACGTAAGGATTCACCTTATTTCATCTGTCATTAGTCTTCATGTCCCCTTTTTGCACTTTTAATTTCATTTTTAATTTTCCCCTCGCACATTCTATACTCCTCTGGGGCTTCTGCTGTTTTGAGCCCTCAGTATCTGCCATAACCTTCCCTTTATTTCTTTACCCAATCCTGTATGTCCCTCAATATCTAGAGTTCACAGGGATTTGCTGCCCTTGTTGGTGTGAAGACTCATTCCAGCCTGCAATGTTTGTGAAAGATGTGATAAGGACAAGTCAGGTAGAGCCCCATTAAAAGCATCCTCATTTCCTAGCTCCATAAAGAACTGAACAAAGGTTGGTTGATGTGAATTTTTTATTAAAAACAAGTTGCATAATTTCTCATGGCTGTGAACACTAAGATAAGCAATTGGACACTTCTAACCCAGCGACAAAGAGCAGTGCTTTATATGGAATGTTGTACAGTGAGTGTGCCCGTACCAGCTGCCTCATTTCCTAGAAGAAATTGTTGCTATGATGGCGATGTCCAGCTTGGGGCCTTGTTGACTGTTCAGCTGCTGTGGAGATGACTGGAGTGGTCCCTTATGAAGTTCTGTAAAAGATGGGGAGGTGTTCTCTGAAGAAACAGTGTCCCTTCCTCGTTCAGTTATTCAGCAATCTGGACTTCAAGGATGTTACTGCGCAGTGTTGTCAGTTGGTTTGGAAGGGATGTAGCCTTATGTCAATGAGGTCCAACTCTCTTGTCTGCGCTCACTCTGTTTCAGAGTCTCTTCTGGATGGTAAGGAATGTTCTCCCTTTGTTACTCTTTGGTCTGTTTTCAAAAGAAAATCCAACAATATTGTTCAGTTAGCTGAGGAAGGAATATTGAGTCCCACATATTGAGTTAATTGCAAACGTAGCTTTTTAAATATTTGCAGTGAAGAGTGGAACTTAAATTTAATCGTCTCCCTGAAACTGGGTGTTGGGCTGATGTTGGCTTCTCCTGTTCACATACAAGTAGCACAAGACCTCTGTGCTCCAGCTCATTCTAATCATTTCATTGTCCAGCTACATCACCCAAAGAAACGGCACTGAATTAACACCACAGAGGCCGGTATCCCATCACCGAGTCACCCTTTATGTACACGTGCCTAGTACTTGACTATCTTCTAGCTCCTTCAGAACCAGCTCTCAGAGTGAACAGAATCCCTGACTCTCCTGTTTATATCTGTCAGCCAGGGCTCTCTGATTGGACCAGATTCATAGCCCCAAACAGGGAACTCATACTCTATCAGGTCCACCTGACTGACCTCGTTACAATCACTACAGGCACCACATCATTTCTTTCAGGACACAGTGGAGATGCAGGTCACTGGGACTGAAGTTATTGTCTGTGCAGACTCGATGGGCAGAAGGGCCTTCTCTGTGCTGTATGAATCTATGAACTTCCGCCAGGAACAATGGGCATGTGCCCTCTCCTGTGCTGTGTTCGGTGATGAGGGTGGGGCATTTAATCAGGTGGGAGGGTGACAGTTAGGGAGTCTGGCGCCTTCTTTCCTTCCACTCTGATTAAGACCATGGCAGAAATGCCCAGATAATCTACCTGCCCCTCCAATTGAAACCTTCACATGGGCAGTTAATGGCATTGGCCCAACTGTGGGTGTGAGAACATGACTTGGCTACAGGCAGTGGCAGGAGGCTGGAGGCTGGTTCCTCAAACAGAGGCACTCAGTGCCTGATTCAGAGACCTGGCATCAGGATGGGGAAAGAGGTGGCTGCACTGAGAAGCCCTCTCCTGCCCTTGATGCCTACCCTCCTTATCCTTCCTCCCTGACCCCCAGCCCCTTCCATCCCTCACCTCCCATGGTGCCCCCTCCTCCATCTGGAGCCTCAGGTGCGTGTCCTACCAGCAGCAGTGCCCACCTCTTATTGACTGTTAGCCCTCTGTGGGTGGTATGCCCACCCGCGGAGGTGGGGTCCTTGGGAAAAGATTCATTGGTGGCCTGCCAAGTGCCTGAGTGGCACAGGATTTGGCAGACTTTCTCGAAAATGAGTGCAATCTGCCACCAGCTGAAAGCTCAGAGTAGGGCAAAGGAGACATTGCCTGAGGCTGTGAAAGTGATAGCAGTGCGAAAGAGACAGATTCTGCTCCCTCAGTGTCCAGTTGGTGCTGCCTAACCATGCCATGCAATGCCTGGTACTCAGGTACCAAAATAACATAGCACACAGATTGGCATTGGGGTTTTGTCTGCTCTTCCTATATCCAGTCAATGCTCACTTCGCTTGTGCTAATATGGCACCCTACACAGAACACCTCATATGTATATGCCATTGATTTAGTTGATACCATTTTAGAGCTCTAAGAGTAATGCTCCAAAAACAGGCTGAAACAATCACACTTTCACGCCGTTTGGTTTTCTAAGTGAAAGTCAAGTGAAATGGAATAAATCTTTTTATAGATAACACAGTGTGGAGCTGGAGGAACACAGCAGGCCAGGCAGCATCAGAGGAGCAGAAAAGGTGATGTTTCGGTTTGGGACCCTTCTTCAGAAATGGCCTGGATTATGTCTTTTGTTGTGTTTGATGATCTCCGGATTAATTACTCATCATCAAATCTTCACTCACTTCTGCTGGTTTTGATGTGGGGGATTCTCCTTCAACATTCTTGAACTTCTTTTGTTTGTAGTAGTTACGTTTTGGGAGAACGTGAAGCAATACCAGGTCACACACGAGTGTTGCCTTGAAAGAAATGAACAGTTTACATAGTTTAAAATAATTCATTCATACATTGGTACTAAGTTTCCTTACCTAGGTTTCAAAAAGTTGCACCTTCAGCTGTTGTATTTTGAAGGTCCTACCCTCTAACACGAGATTCTTGAGTTAATCTCTAGTCAAGAGTAAATGTGATTTGTTTTTGCCTTCCTCAGAGTATTTAAATTAAGAGACTTGCTCCCAAATAAACTTACATTGTACAGTATCAGGGACAAACATACCCATCAGACATCCCGTAGGATTTGAACCAGTGTCCAGAGCCCTCTGCAGAACTGCAAAGACTAGGCCTCAGAGACAGAGGTGGAATTATTACACTTTAACCACTGTATATTCTCTCCCTTTCACATATATGCCCCTGTGAATGTTAATGCAGCTCTTTGGTCTGCCCAAAACTTGTTGATCTTCCAGAGCAAGGAGCTGACCCTGACTGAGTGTTGCAGACTGGCACATTTCAAGGTCCAGGATGACTTGCTGAGGGAAGCACCAAAGCTTGGGGCAGCTGCACAGTGGGGCAAGACCACTGTCTGAGGTCTTCCTGCTGAAGTTAATTAGGGCCTATTCAGTTATTGGACCCTCCTAGTGCCTCAATGCATGTAAAGATAGTCTTGTATTGGTTGATTTGAATAGTCAAACTCAAATGTTTGTTGTGTTTCCTTGACATGCTACTGTACAGAACTGAACTGCATTTGTGACAATGTATTGATGAATAAAGTATATTATTGAAATAAAGAAGTTCTAGTTGCCTGTTGCTTGGGGAACTTGGGGTGGTATTGTCTCAGTGGTTAGCACTGCTGCCTCACAGCCCCAGGGACCTGGGTTCGATTCCCCCCTTGGGCGACTGTCTGTGTGGAGTTTGCACATTCTCCCCGTGTCTGCATGGGTCCCCTCTGGGTGTTCCAGTTTCCTTCTGCAGTCCAAAGATGTGCAGGCTAGGGTGGATTGGTCATGCTAAATTGCCCAGGGATGTGTAGGCTAGGTGGGTTAGCTATGGGGAAATGCAGAGATGGGGCAGGGGGATGGTTCTGGGTGGATGCTGTTCAGTGTGGACTCAATAGGCTGAATGGCTGTTTCCATCCTGTAGAGATTCTATGAATCCTGTGCCTGAGGCAAAGTCTGACACCTCATGCATGTAAAAGATTTGTAAATGTAGCCTGTTTGATGGTTGGTTGTTTAATGAAAGTATTCATTGTTGATGAAGGAACAAATAGAGACAACCTTGATTCTTAACACCTAGTAATTAGCTTCCTTTTCCTGCCGCAGGGTGGATGCAGGATTGCAGTGTATCAATGTTCTAATTTCCGCAGAAGAGATTCTGAGGAGTTGCAGTTGTGATGTTGGAAAAGTAGTTTGGATATGATGAGAAAGAGAGAACATTGAGAAAGAATAAATATATGACTCTGCTTTAAGAAAGTGGTTAACATGGTCTTCATGATTTGGAAACCATGATGTGGAGGCGCCAGGGTTGGACTGGGGGTAGACAAGGTCAGAAATCACATGACATGAGATTATAGTCCAACAGGTTTATTTAAAACAGAGACAACAAGGTGCAGGGCTGGATGAACACAGCAGGCCAAGCAGCATCATAGGAGCAGAGCCTGCTGTGTTCATCCAGCCCTGCACCTTGTTGTCTCGGATTCTCCAGCATCTGCAGTTCCTACTATCTCTGGTTTATTTAAAACGCAAGCTTTCATGGCTCAGCTTCTTCCTCAGGCATTGTGTGTGTGAGAGGGTATAAGACACAGAATTTATAAGCAGAAAGGTAACAACCCTAAAACTGGCTGCCTCTTGTTGAATCTTTAATCAGTTAGGAAGGAGACTGCTGGTTAAAATGCAAGATCCAACTTCCTCTCAAGTCATTATCCTGAGGTAATTAAAAGTTTTATCAATGTATACAAGAGGTGGCATCTCAGGTCAGACAATGCATTTTAGGTCTGCAGTGTTCCCAGTTGTTTGGTTGTCCATATGTTTCTTTGTAGTAGCCCATTCTATTCTGTATGATGATGGCTCCTTCTTTGTCTGCTGGTTTGATGACAATGTTGCGATTGGTCTTGAGAGCACGGGTGGCTATGCGTTGTGCCTGGGTGATGTTTTGCACCACCTTGTAAGTGTGGCTGATGAATCTGGCACTCATGTTTCCTGACACGCTACAGGTGACCCCACTGCGCTATACACTCACACACACACTCACACATACACACACATACACTCATACTCTCTCACACATACACACTTGCACAGATCTTCTCTCACACACACACACTCACACATACACTCTCTCACACACATACACTCCCTCACACTCACACTTTCTCAAGCACATGCGCAGACACACACACACACACACACACACACACACGCACACAGACACATGCACACGCACACATGCACACACACACATACACACGCAGACACACACACACACACGCAGACACACACAGGAATTATTTCATCCCAGATGTTTGTGTAGTTGCAGATAAATTCTATTTTGCTGAAAAAAATAAAACCTGACCCCAGTTTAAAACAAAGACAGATTCTAAGCAAGACCTCGCACCTAAAATGCATTGTCTGACCTGCTTATAAATTCTCTGTCTTATACCCTCTCTCTCACACTACGCCTAAGGAAGGAGCTGAGCCATGAAAGCTTGCATTTTCAAATAAACCTTTTGGACTATAATCTGGTGTCATGAGATTTTTGACTTTTAATTTGGAAAATGCAAAGGGGAAGGTTTTAATTCTGTATAAAATTCATTTGGTTGGACAGTATATGTTGCACCCCATTTTCTCTATTAAAAACCTGATGGAAAAGTAAGTAGGAGAGAGGGCATATATAGCCAGGCATTTCTAGACAGTTCATGGTACACCAAAGGCTAAAAGTTAACATTACCCTTTGGAAATTTTCTAATCAACCTATTCAGCGTTATTATTACATATTTCTGAAACTCGAACGAAGGCTTAGAGTTAGGGACACTGCCACTGTTCCATAATAGTCCACTTTTCAGTCACAGAGGATTATGAAATAAAAATAATCTTTCTTCACAGCCTTATAACTGAGCAACTTTTTCTCTTCCTTTCTGAGTGTAAGACCAGGAGAAAGTGATTTCGCTCCTCAAGCTGGTTTCACTATTCAATTAAATCTTGGCCAAACTCCACCTCACCTCCACATTACACTTTCCCCTCAAATTCTCTCACCAGTGAAAATCTATTAATCTCAGTCTTGAAAGATCTAACTAATATCTCAAACCCCACTCCAACCCATGTGCATCATAGCTCTTTGAGAGGAGTGAGATCGAGATTTCTACTATCTTTTGTGTAAAATAATTGCTTCCTGACATTCTTCCAAAATGATCTATCTCTAATGTTGAGATTAACGAGCATTTTTACTTACCACTCCAAACACCCCAATTCCAGAACCAATAGTTGTCATGGTTGGAATGATGTTAAATTTACCAGCCTGATAAAAAAAGATGAGTCCATTAAACAAGATGAGTAACTAACTACAAACTCTAGTGCACACTCGAACTAATATATCTTTTATCGGAGAATGTTTGACTATTTTGACCAAAGGAAATTAATGTTATTCAGAGGAAAAATGAAATACACCTTTGCCAATTAAGCTTTGGATATTTAATAAAAGAGCGATTTTTAACATTACCTGATAGGCTAATTTTCATACACCAGGACAAGAAAGAAGGACTGCTTTCTGTGGATGATTTTGAGTGTTAGCATTATATCTGGATGGAGGTTCCATTTTGTGTGTAATTTTAAATGGACTTGACAACGTTCAGTGAATCAAGCCATCTCATTAAGTAATTGATGTCCTTTGTTTGACAGGAATGCCTGGTAAATAAGGAGCATGGTCAGCGTGGGACCACAGCAATGTGGAACCTCAGCAAAGTGAGACAAGGCCAAGTGGGTTACTGACTACGGTTAGAAACTTGGTTCAAAGTGGAAATTCAATATGAAAGGGGTCAAAGGTGATTTAGCTAGGGTTTACTGCAAGAAATAAACTCCCCAGAGTGAGAGGTGAGTGGGACCAGAATAAAAGTCTTGCATCGAGAAGCTGACCTGCAGTGAGACCAATGACAGAGTGTGATGGGAGTGCAGAGAAAGAAGCTGATTGCTGATTCGGATTGTTGACTATTTCTACTCATTAAACTAAAGATTGAGTCTTCAGTTTGCGTTTTGATCTCAGATGTTTTTCTCTTTACTTAATAATAAGTATTTTAGTGCTTTGTTCTCTCTCTTTTTAGTTTATAAAAGCAATATATCAAAACAAGGAAATATAAAGAGCAAGGAATTTCTAGAAATTAATTTATAAGATCATCGAGTCATAGAGTTGTACAGCATGGACACAGACCCTTCAGTCCAACTTGACCATGCCGATCCGAAATCCTAAATTAATCTAGTCCCATTTGCCGGCTGGTGGCCCATATCCCTTTAAATCCTTCCTATTCATATACCCATCCAGGTGCCTTTTAAATGTTGTAACTGTACCAGCCTCCACCATTTCCTCTGGCAGCTCATTCCATACGCGGACCACCCTCTGTGTTAAAAAGTTGGTCCTTAGGTCCCTTTTAAATCTTTTTCCTCTTACTTTAAACCTATGCCCCTCTAGTTTTGAACACCCCTACCCTGGGGAAAGGACCTTGTCTATTTACCCTATCCATGACCCTTATGATTTTACAAACCTCTATAAGGTCACCCCTCAGCCTCTGACGCGCCAGGGAAAATAGCCCCAGCCCATTCAGCCTCAAACCCTCCAACCCCAGCAACATCTTTATAAATCCTTTCTGAACCCTTTCAAGTTAGAACAACTACGATAGTGATGACAGGATGAGTGAATGTGTTGTTGCAGCTGGACACCAATCTGATCCAGGGAGAACGCATCCGTAATAAGTGTTGCACTTAAGGAATTTCCGATCTGAGTTGAAGGCCTGGAGTCTGAGCTGCAGACATTGTGCCATATCAGGAAGGAGTCACTTTCCAGGGCACTTTTCTCCAGAGGGTGGTCAGACTCCATCAGGTTGGGTAAATATAATAATAGAGTCATAGAGTCATACAGCATGGAAACAGACCCTTCGACCCATTTCATCCATGCCAGCCAGGTTGTCCAAACTAAACTAGAACCATTTGCCTGTGTTTAGACAACATCTCTCTAAACCTTTCCTATTCATGTAACTGTCCAAACATCTTTTAAATGGTGTAACTGTACCTGCATCTACCATTTCCTCTGGCAGCTCAATCTATGTGCACCACCTTATTTGTGAATAAGTTACCTCTCAGGTCCCTTCCAAATCTTTTCCCTCTCACCTTAAACCTATGTCCTCTAGTTTTGAACTCCCCCACACAATGGAAACTACCCTTGTTTTCACCTTATCTATGCCCTTTATGATTTCATAAACCTCTTTAAGGTCACCCCTCACCCTCCTACGCTCCAGGGAAAAAAGTCCCAACCTATCCAGCCTCTCCTTATAACTCAAGCCCTCTAGTCTGGTAACATCCTGGTAAATCTTTTCTGAATCCTTTCCAATTTAATAATATCTTTCCTAAAGCAGGGCAACCAGAATTCAAAAATTGATCTGCAATCAGGAACAGGAGAGTGACTGACTGGCAGAGGCAGCTATGAGGACCTAGGGGCTAAAATTGAGGAGCCTCAGTCCCTGCAATTGTCCAACAGTTATGATGTTCTTGCAAACTCTGCGGTTGGGAGTGGGGACTGCAGCAAGGATGAACAAACTCCCTTATAGCACATTGGTATGGGGACCCATTCAAATGGTGAAAGGATAGATCCTGTTCTCCGCAACTGTGAGAGGGAGGAATTTGGATTTGAAGCAACTGTGATAAACTTAAACCAGGGTAATTGCCAAGGAAAAGGATAGAGCTAGCTGGATTGGATTGAGAAAGGAGTTTAGTAGCGAAGACAGTTGAAGAAAACTGCAGACTGCAGACTTTAAGAAAATAGTTCATGGCTCACAGCAAAGGCATATTCCAGTGAGGAGGAAGGATTCTATGAAGGGGATAATCCAAACATGGTTAACCAGGGAAGTCAAAGATAGCTTCAGATTGAATGAAAAAATGTACAATGTGGCAAAGCTTAGTGGTAAACCAGTGGATTGGAAAAATTTTAAAAACCAACAAAGATGACCAGAAAAACAAAGTGGGAGAAAATAAATGTTGAGGGTAAACTTGCAAGTAATATCAAGATGGACAGCAAGAGCTTCTTTCAATATATAAAAAGAAAAAGAGAGGCTAAAGTGTACATAGGCCCCTTAGAGAATAGGGCTGGGGAGAAAAAATAATGGAGAACCAGGAAATGGCAGAGGAGTTGAACAAATATTTTGCATCAGTATTCACAGTAGAAAATACTAATATTGTTCCAAATTACTAAATATGCAAGGGGCAAAAGGACGAGAGAAAATAAACACAATAACTAACACTGGAGGAACCGTGCTTGGGAAACTAATGGAGTTAAAAACTGATATGTCCCATTGTCCTGATAGGATATATTCTAGGACATTAAAGGCAATAGTTACAGAAATAATGGATGCAATGGTAGTAATCTTCCAAGAATACATTGACTCTGAAAAAGTTCCAGAGGACTAGAAAGCTGGCAATGTAACACCTTTATTTATAAAAGGAAGGTGATAAATAATATGTAATTATAGACTATTGAAATGTAGAAAATAGGAGTAGACCTTTCAGCCCTTCGAACCTGCTCCACTATTCAGTATGATCATGGCTGATCATCCAATTTGGTACTCTGTTCCCGCTTTCTCCCCATACCCTTTGATCGCTAATAACTTTATCTAACTTCTTCTTGTAACATTCAATGTTTTGGCCTCAACTGCTTTCTGTGGCAGAGAATCCCACAGGCTTCTCACTCTCTGGGTGAAGGCATTTCTCCTCATCTCAGTCCAAATGACTTACCCTGTATCCTTAGACTGTGACCCTTGGTTCTGGATCCCCTAGTCATTGGGAACATCCTTTCTGCATTTACCCTGTGCAATAATGCTAGAATTTGGTAGATTTCTATGAGATCCCCCTCATTCTTCTAAAGTCCAGTGAATATAATTCTAACCACTCCAAACTCTCTTCACATGTCAGTCCTGTCATCCCAGAAATCAGTCTGGTAAATCATTGTTTAGGCCAGTTAGCTTATTTGTTATTGCGAAAATATTAAGAGTCCGTTATAAGGGATGAAATAGCAGCGCATTTAGAAATACATAATATGATCAAACAGAGTCAAATGGCTTCATGACAGGGAAATCATGCCTGACAAATTTACTAGAATTCTTTGAGGATGTAACCACAGGATAGATAAAGGGGAAGCAGTGGATGTAATATATTTAGACTTTCACCAGACATTCAATAAAGTGCCACACATTAGGCTACTGTATTGAAGCCATTGGTTGGAGGTAGTTTATCAGCATGGATAGGGATTGGCTAACTAACTGACAGAGATCTGGGATAAGGGGGCCATTTTCAGAATGGCAACTTGTAACTAGTGGAGTGCCTCAGGGATCAGTGCTGGGTTTGTTACGATATACATTAATGATTTGGATGAGGAAAGTGAATGTAAGATTGCTAAGTTTGTAGATGACACAAAGAGTCTACAGAGGTTATGGACAGGGTAAGTGAATGGGCAAGAACTTAGCAGATGGAATATAATTTGGGGAAATGTGAAGTCATGCAATTTGGCAGGAAGAGTAGAGGAACTGAATATTATTGAAATGGGGAAAGACTACAGAAAGCTACAGAACAGAGAAATTTGGATATGCTTGCCTATGAATCACAAAACTCTAGCATCAGTCTCAGTGGGTAATAGAGAAAAAAAATGGAATGTACGCTTTTATTTCAAAGGAAATGGAATATAAAAGTTAGCAAGTTTTGCTAAAGCTATACAAGGTACACTAGTTAAACTGCAGCTGGAATACTTGAACAGTCTTGGGTCTAATATCTGTGTAAAGATATATTGGCCTGAGAGTCAGTTCAGAGAAGGTTTACTGGGCTAATCCCAGGTCTAAGGACAGGTTGAGCAGATATGGCCGGTACTCATTGGAGTTTAGAAGAATGAGAGGTGATCTTATTGAAATGTATGAGGTTCTTAGGGACCTGACAGATGCAGAAAGTTTGATTCCCCCTTGTGTGAAAGAGGTGCAGAAGGCAGAATCTCAGAATAATTGAATTGAATTAGTTTTATTATTACATGTACTCAAACGAGTACAGTGAAAAGTTTACAAGTTGCCACTTATGCTGTCATCTTAGGTACAAGGTACGCAGGTACAGATTCTTCAGTACAAGTTCTTAGGAAGATAAGGGGTGACACATTAAAGACAGAAGTGAGGAAGAATTTTTTTCAGAGGACAGTGAATCTGCAGAATTCTTTACTGCAAACGGCTGTCGAGGCTGGTTATTAAGTATATTCAAGGGTGAGAGAGACAGATTTTTAACCAGTAAGGAAACCGAGGGTTATGGGGGCAAAAGGCAGGAAGTGGAGTTGAGGATTATCAGATCAGCCATGGTTAGTGGATCAGACAGTGCCTTGACCGAAGGTGTAGCGCTGACGTGTGACAGCACTGTGACTAATGGGGTTTCTCTGGCCCTTGCAGTGTAAACTTGGCTGTCACATTGACAGCAGAAGACAGATGGAGCCAAACGACTGATTCATTGTTAGCACTATTTCCACACAAGTGAAGAGCCTGTTTCAGAAATCAATTTATCTCGAGAGGTACGTGGGTCAATTACCTTCATGTATTTAGTCTAAAGGAAGAGTGTACAGTTTGTGAATCTCAATTAATACCCTATTAGCCTGTTGAATGTTAAATATTTATAGTCTGAGCATCAACCCAATAGAGTGAACACATTATAGAACATGGTCATCTGAGTAACGCAGCAAGATTTGTCTATTTGATCCCTGGTCTACTTTTATTCCCCATTAAGGTTTGCCCTTGTTTGTTAGAAATTTATGATTGACCTGTAGAATTGGTTGGTGATACTGAATGCAAGGAAATATAGAACACAAGTATAGACCCAAAACGTAACGCTTTATATTGGGGATTTTTTTTCTATTTGCCAAATATTGAATAATGAATCTAAAACAAATGATTGTCTCAAATGGAAACTGTAGATTCAAAGTGGTTGTTTTGATTACACCACACTGTGTGGTTTCTGAGATCAGATTTTTGGATGGAAATGACTCTTAGAGTACCACCAGTAAAACAGACCCATCAGACAACTCACCACTATCCTGCTCATTGAGGGGAAAAATAGAAAATTCACAGAGACTTTGGGAAGGGAGAAACATCTTTAGGATAATTTAGAAAGAGTTATTACCTATCAAATATTACCTTGGGCTATCCTAAGGTAGTGTCTGATGTAAATTCCATTCCCTTCACTTAATAATATCACCCAAAAATAAGAGAGCCTTACCTTCCCATGAACCATAATATCTAATCGAATTCCATACACTTTGTAAAGGTCTCTCATTTCCACACCATTTTCCTTGTAGTATTTAGCATACCTTTGAAAAAGAAATTTGGGCAACGTTAGTGAACCTTGAAACAAAGAAAGACTTGCATTTCAATATCACCTATCATATTGTCAGGCCTCGCAAACCACTTTAAGCCAATGAGGTAATTTAGAAGTTGTTCTATGTTCTAGAAGTGAGTGCAGTAATGTAAGAAAAACAGTGGCTAATTGAGTAGAACAATTCCTAGCAACAGCCAAGTGATGATGTATTGATAACCTGTTTTTTATGTAATTTGAGGAATACTGCCCAGGGCATAGGGAGAGGGCTACCTGTTCTTCCTTGAAATCATGCCATGGGATCCAATGTGATGATCAGACAGAGCATGATGAATATAAGAACTAAGAGCATGGGGGTGCTATTCAGCCCCTCGAGCCTGCTCCACCATTTGATACCTTCATGGCTGTTCTTATCTCAGCCTCGACTCCTCTTTCCTGCCCACTCTCCATGATCCTTCAACCCATTACTCATTAAAAATCTACCTCCTCCTCCTTTCACTTCCTTCGACTTTAAGTACCAAGAGTTTATCCAACAGTTCCTCCTAATCAGTTTTGAACTCTTCTCATGACTGAGTTCCCACCTTCGTTAAGATAGCCATACCTTGTAGGTAAAGACAGAAGCAGGTATTCATTTCATACATCAACCATATCCCTTCATTCTTCACCCCCTTTTCATCTCTCGTCAGGCCTACTCCTCCTTTTAACACCCTTTCCTATTGATGCTCTTATAGAAGATTCTGGAATTCTCCTTTCTCTTGGCCACCGGTCTTTTGCCATCATCTATCTTTGCTTCTCTCATATGCTTTTCACCTGTTCTCTGAACCTTTGTATTCAGCTTGGTTCTCACCTCTGCTTTCTACCAGTTACCTACCAGAACCATAACTTTTCTTTTTTATCTTAATTTGTATCTCCTTTATTATTCAGGGATCCTTTGCTTTTTGAGGGAATATACTTTGGCCATGCCTGAATTTTTGTAGTCCATTGTTCACTTACAGTTTTTGTCTCTAAACTTTGTCCTCCAGTATATTTGGCCCAGTTCTGCTCTTCACACATTGAAGTCCACTCTCCACCAGTTGGTTTTCTTACTCTGGATCGTTCATTGTCCTTTTCTACTGTAATTCTGAACCTTATTTTATTTTATTTTATTCATTTGTGGGACATGGGCATCATTGGCTAGGCCAGCATTAATTGACTGTCTCTAGTTACGAAGATGTTGGTGGTGAACTGCCTTCTTGAACCACTGCAGTCCATGTGCTATGGGTAGACTGCTGTTAGGGAGGGACTTCCAGGATTTTCACCCAATGACAGTGAAGGAACGGCGAAATATTTCCAAGTCAGGATGGTGAGTGGAGGGGAACTTGCAGGTGTTGGTGTTCCCACGTATCTGCTGCCCTTGTTGTTCGAGATGGAAGTGGTCGTGGGTTTGGAAGGTGCTGTCTGAGGAGCTTTGGTGAGTTTATGCAGTGCACCTTGTAGATAGTACATACTGCTCTACTAAGCATCGGTGTTGGAGGGACCAATCAAGCAAGTTGACTTATCCCAAATGGTATCAAAAGTTTTGAGTGCTGGTGAAACTGCACGCATCCAGGCAAGTGGAGAGTATTCCATCACACTCCTGACTTGTGCCTTGTAGATAGTGGACAGGCTTTGGGGAGTCAGGATGTGAGTTACTTGCTTCAGGATTCCCAGCCTCTGACCTGCTCTTGTAGCTATGTGGTATTTATGTGGTGAGTCCAGTTCCATTTCATGATTTACACCAATTCTGACATGTTACTTGAAGACCAATTCAAAATACCGGTTCAGTTCATCTGCCACGCTATTTAATGTAAATCCTCTCTCCTTCCCTCACGAGAATGCTGACCCCAGCAAAGTTTAGGAGTAGACTGTTGCAATGGTACAAATTTCACTTCCCCTAGTGATGCCAGTGTTCTATAAACCCCTCCTACATCAGAGCCACACATTCATTCCTCTAATCAGATTTGTCCTATGTCAATTTTCACATGGTTTAGTTAATCATGCAGTCATTATTAACTTTGAGATTCTGCTTCTTAATTTAGTGTCACCCTCTCATACTGACGATATACATTCCTTCTCTTGTCTTCCATTCAAAGTTCCTCCTCAGCCCTCAGCAGATTTTGTAAACTCTGGTACCAGGCAGGCAACACAGCCATCTGAACTCTTGTTGCAGAGAACATGGTCAATCTCCCTTAGTACACTGTGTGCACAGAGTCACTATATTCCCTTTCATTCCCCTTCTCCACTTAAACTGCTTCCTGTATAACATTTCCATGGTTAACATTAATAGAAGTTGCTGGAAAAGTTCAGCAGGTCTGGCAGTGTCTGTGAAGAAAAATCAGAGTTAACGTTTCGGGTCCGGTGATCCTTCCTCAGAACGGACCCGAAACATTAACGCTGATTTTCTCTTCACAGATGCTGTCAGACCTGCTGAGCTTTCCCAGCAACTTCTGTTTTTCTTCCTGATTTACAGCATCCGCAGTTCTTTCAGGTTTTAATTCCACGGTTAAGTTAACTCCTCTATCCTTTAGTCTTCACTGTCATCCAGACAAACTGAAAGAACATCAAACCTTTTGGATGGTTGCGCAGACTGAGGTTCCTGTCCTTCAGGTTCTTTTACCTTGCTCAGCTGCAGACACATACTCATCTATCCCTGACCACTGCCGTAACAATGGATCATGATCCTGGGCTACTTACTTATGGGCTAGACTTTTAATTACAAAAGTGTTCTTGTCGAAGACAACATATAGTTAAAAGACGGTGCTGAGGTAGCTTCAGTCGCTGACAATGCCCTGAGGATGAACTGTGGAATACCACATTTGAAAAGGTGTCAAGGCAATTCCAAATAGCAGCCCTTTAATGGGAGAGATGCAATCCAAAACAAACTGGACTGTAATCTTCTGAGGCTGCACAACAACGAGGAGCTGACGTACCGGCATTGTGGTCTCCATCTCAGCTAATCCTGCCAGAGATCCAGGGAGATTTTATCACCCTCCTCCACCATCCCCACCCCTACCCCCTCCCCCCAGCCCACCACCTGCCCCCTGCCACCCCAGGCTCTCCTTGCAGCTTTTTCACTTCTGTACAACTGAGATTAACCCAGTTATATGGAATCACAAAGACACAAGCTGATATAATGTGTCACTACACCAACAGATGGTTTTACCAAACAGCATGCTGCATTTTTTTCACGAAACACAAGTGCTGTCAATTTCCAACTCCTGCTGTGAGTTTCTTACCTGAAATTAAATCCTGCTGACACCTGCTCCTTGCCTATGCCCCCGTAGAGTTGATGGAAGCTGTATTTGGGTTTACAGTATTTCTCTGACCAATCCAGGTCACAGTTCCAATCTATCACAATCCCGATCATACCACCCTTCAACAGAAAACACACACTGTGACCAGAATCACACTATCAGACCTTTTAAAACATTATTCCATGATTATGGGCATCACTAGCTTAACCAGTATTTACTACCCATCCCAAGCTGCCCTTGAGATATGATTGCAATATCTTGAGAGACAGGGTGGATGGAGAGTAACTGCACCCTCTCATAAGAGGGTCAAAAACAAAAGGGCACAGTTATAAGATAATATGCAAAAGAAGCAAATGAGAGGTGAGGAAAATCTTCTCCACACAGCGAATAGTTAGGGTTTGGAATGCACTGCCTTGAAGTGTGGTGGAGGCAGGTTTGATTGAAGCATTCAAGAGGGCATTGGATGATCAGTTAAGTAGAAATGATATTCGGGGTTATGGAGAAAAGGCCACAGCTCAGCAATAAGTCATTATGCCTGTTCAGGGAGCCAGTATAGGCACAACAGGCTGAACTGCCTCCTCCTGCATTGTAATGATTCTGTGCTTTTGATCGTGAGCTGCCTTCCTATATCGATCCAGTCTATTGGGTGCAGTTACGCCCAAAGTGCTGTCAGGGAGTGAGTTCCAGGATATAGCATTACAGAATGTGTCTCTATCATCCTTAAATGCTTCAGTGCAGGTTATGTTAAATTAAGCCAGCTACCGTTGCTTTCTGCTAGTTGCATTGCCATTGATTAGTTGGAGGCCAATGCTCTTGGTGCAAGTCTACACTTACCTTATACGCCAAGGCAGTGAAATTCTCTTTAAGTTCTTCAACAATGTATCCCAAACGGAACACGGGACATAGAGGATCACGGACCTTATGGTAGGTGCAATTTTTCAGAGTTGCTTTGGTTACTGATTCCACTATATTCCGCCTGGAAAATACAGCTTTTTAATGAAGTTAAAGAGAAAATGCACTGCTTTTTGTAACAAAAATCAGTTTTAAAAAAATTGCATTCCCAAACATACCTTGAAACACCAAAGGCTGTAAAAGTGATTGCGTTCTTGATAAAAATAGTAAAGTTTTCTGCAGCCATCAACAATGGTGGACTAAGGAGAGGACAAGAGAAGACACCTGCATTAGTATAGTAGTCAAACTGCCTTGTATGAACTAACAAGCATCATAGTGAGGTCATTTTGACCTTGGGTTATGTGTAAAATGAGTGATACCACATCTGGGGGCTTGCAGTTTTCAGAAATGGAGAGATTTTCAACACCAGCGGTATTGACACTGCCCAATCCATAGTATTGGCTACACTTCCAACTCCCCGTATCTATGTTCTCAAATCATTGCTGAAATAACTTACCACAAAGGAATACAAATTGTGTAGAGATCTTTCATATTTGTGAAAGTGACAGAAGGGAAAACCATTAGGTCTGCTCCACATGAAAAGTGGGGGAGGTGATGGCCTGGTGGTGTTATCACTGGGCTGTTAATCCAGAGGACCCCCATAATGTGCTAGAGGCTGGGTTCAAATCCTGCCACAGCAGATGGTGGAATTGAATTCAAAGAAAGAAAGTCTGGAGTTAAGAGTCTAATGATGGCCATGACCCCATTGCTAATTGTTGGAAAGGAAACCTCCATCCTTACCTGGTTTGGTCTATATGTAACTCCAGACCCACAGCAAAGTGGTTGACTTTTAACTGCCCACCTCTGGGCAATTAGGGATGGGCAATGAATGCCAGTCTGGCCAACAACGCCATCATCCCATCAATGAATAAAAGAAAAAACGCAGAAAGCGTTGGAAGGGAAAATCCAAACTTAGAGCCAAAGAAGCTGAGGGTAGAGCCACCAATGGTGGAACAGTTAACATTGGGAATGCTTGAGATGCAGGAGATCAGGAGAAATTGTATCGATTGGGGACTGGATTGGTAAGGATAGAACAAAGTTGTAGAACAATGGGCACAGTATGCGTTGGGGACTCTTCCCAAAGAGCCAGTACAGTCATGATGGGTCAAACAGCCTCCTTCTGTTCTATATTATTATATAATAGCCTAAGAGGAAGGGGCACCCCATTTGGCTGAGTGCTCCCACCTTCCTGGCCGGTAAACCTTTTGTTGCAGCGGAACCTAGTTTGTCACACAGATCTCCACAAGCATGTAGGCACATTCTGGGCAGGAACCTGACCTGAATTCATGAAGACTGGGCAAATTATTTCTTTGTTTGCTTGGAGGTCGAATGGAGCAGAGATAGCAATGTCTAGGGAGTGCTAGGTGGATATCTGAAATCCACTCCCATTGCCTCAGACCCATGCCAATCCCAAGCAAAAGATGTGCCAACCCACTGATCTCAGAGTGACTGCCTCTAGTGAGCCCAAGCCCCACAGAAAACCCATGCTGGTGGGTCACAAGTGGGACCAGAGAGCCATCTCTCTTCAACACCATAGCCACAGTGAGTCTGTAAATGGTATGAATCAGTACTGGAAATCTCTCCGTCTTAAAATAATGCAGATGCTATAATTTAGCAACACAAATTCCGACACACTTATCAGGTCTGTCAGATTGTGTTTCAGATATATATTATGCCTCAGTGCAGGAGTGAGCATGAGTGTATGTACCTGTGTGTATGTGTCTGAGTATACATGCACGTGTGTGATTGTATGTGGCTGTGTGTGAGTGTGTGCATGAGCATGTGTGTGTCTATGCGTGAGTGTGTTAGTGTGTGGCTGAGAGTAAATGGGTGTGTGTAAATGTGTGTCTGAGTGTGGGAGAGTTGTGAGAGAGTATTTCAGTGCTTGTGTAAATGTAAGTGAGTCTATTTTGTGTGTGTGACTGATGTCAGTGTGTATGTGGCGTGTGCTAGTGAGCATGTGCCTATTTGTGTAAGTGAGTATAATGTTCCAAAATGAACATTCATGAACGAGATGGCTTTAATGGTAATCGATGATCGGTTTCATGGTCTGAATCGCTGAGATTGGCTTTATATTTCAGATTTATTAATTAAATTCAAATTTCACCAGCTACTGTGTTGGGATTTGAACGTGTGTGTGTGAGTGTATGTGTGTGGCTTTGTGTGTGTGTCAGTGTGTTTGTGTAAATGCGTGGGTGTGCATGTGTGTGCACACGTGTATGTGAGTGCACGCGTGTAAGAGTATGTGTATATGCATGTGTGTAAGTGTGTGTGCGTGTGAATGTGTGTGCATGTGTGTGTGAGGGTGTGTTTGTTTATGAGTGAATTTGGCTCTTTGTTTAGGGTTATGTAGCTGTGAGTGTGTGTGCATGTGTGTGTGAGGGTGTGTTTGTTTATGAGTGAATTTGGCTCTTTGTTAGGGTATGTAGCTGTGAGTGTGTGTGCATGTGTGTGTGAGGGTGTGTTAGTTTATGAGTGAATTTGGATGTTTGTTGGGGTGTATGTAGCTGTGAGTGTGTGCCGGTACGAATGTGTGAGAGAATGTGAGTGTGACTTTTCCATGTTCTTTATTTCCTTTCCCTTTGTGAACTGTTTCTATGTAATGTCCTCTAGGACCAGCCAACAGGGCATAGCTGCTCGGTCACTCACTGTCTGACTTTCTGACTGTGCCCAGTGTATTCTGCTTTTCAGAAGCTTGTTTCTCAGTGCCAATCCTTTAAATGTTCACAGGTAAAGCTGGGCTCCAGCCAGTCTATCAATGGAATCAGAACTCACCCTGAAAATTCACCTTTTCCTCAATGAAAGGGGTAGCTCTGGCCTCCAGACTGTCCTAGGCCCTTGGCTGCCAGCTGTCTCCCAAAGTACTTTAAATTGAGGGGTGATAGATATAGGACAGATGTCAGAGGTAGGTTCTTTACTCAGAGAGTAGTAAGGGCGTGGAATGCCCTGCCTGCAAAAATAGTACACTCGCCCACTTTAAGGGCATTTAAATGGTCATTGGATAAACATATGGATGATAATGGAATAGTTTAGGTTAGATGGGCTTCAGATTGGTTTCACAGGTCGGCGCAACATCGAGGGCCGAAGGGCCTGTACTGCGCTGTAGTGTTCTCTGTTCTATGTTCTATGTTCTACTACAACAGCAGGGACACCAAATACTTCACCTCCCACTGAACTCCATGTACATCAATCAATAGAGAGGTATAGAGGGCAAAGAAATCACAAGCTGCTCTCCAACATGCAATGGTGCAGAGGCTTAGTGGTTAGCACTGCTGCCTCACAGTGCCAGGGACTTGGGTTTGATTCCACCCTTGGGTGACTGTCTGCGTGAAGATCTTCCCAGGTCTGCATGGATTTCCTCCCGGTGCTCTGGTTTCCTCCCACAGTCCAAAGATGTGCAAGTTAGATGGATTGGCCAGGCTAAATTGCCCTCTGTGTCCAAGGATGTGTAGGTTAGCCATGGACAGTGCAGGGGGATTGGTCTGGGTGGGATGATGTTTGGAGGGTCAGTGTGGACCTGTTGGGCTGAATGGTTTGTTTTCACACTGTAGAGATTCTATTCTGTATGTACACTGCTTATTTAAATCACTTTTGTACTCTTTGCAGAATGTACGCATCGCTGGCCACAGACCAGCATTTGTAACCCACCCGTAATTGCCCTGGGGAAGATGGTAGTGAGCTGCCTTCTTGAATCAATGCAGTCCTTGGCGTGTAGGACCCACAATGCAGTGAGAGAAGGAGTTCCAAGATTTTGACCCAGTGACACAATAGTAATGGTCATATATTTCCAAGTCTGGAGAGGAACTTGCAAGTGGTGGTGTTCCCATGTATCAACTGCCTTTGTCCTTCCAATAGAAGAGGTCACAGGTTTATAAAATGTTGTCTCAGGAGACTTGGTGAGTTGATGCAGTGCAGTGTAAATGGTACACACTGCTGTTGCTGTCTGTCAGTGATGGGGGGAGGGAGTGAGGGTCTGGGTCAAGAGTTTTTGCATTTTGTGCTGTATGGTCTCTTTGTCTGAAATTTCTTTGGCATTCTGTAAGCAGGAAGGAACTGGATTTGACGGAGAGGCCATGAGAATCGGTCTCTCTCATGACCAACACAAAAGTTGCCAGGCCGGGAATCAGATAAGAATCCTTACTTTGAAACGATGCTGTCATCTTCGACTGGGCACCATCCAAAGATTTCACACGTCTTGCTTCCTGCAGTGTTGTTTCGACATTTCCCACTCATTATGCCTGGCGAGATCAAAAATTCCAACAAGTTCAGTCAAAGAATTTACACTACATCCCTATTGTCCTCCATGTAACTATTCCCCCTTATCTCTCAGCAATTTTTGTTATTCTCTCATAAAGTCAGAGTCATACAGGAAACAGACCCTTTGGCCCAACTCGTCCATGCCAACCAGGTGTTCCAACCTGAACAATTCTCGTTTGCCTGTGTTTGGCTCATACCTATCTAAATATTACCTGTTGATTTCCAAATGTCTCTTAAATGTTGTAAATGTACCTGACACTACCACTTCCTCTGACAGCTCGTTCCATATACGCACCACCCTCTGTGTGAAAAAGTTACCCCTCAGGTCCCTTTTAAATCTTTACCCTCTCTCACCTTAAACCCATGCCCTCTAGTTTAGAACTCCCCTACCCTGGGGAAAAGACCTGGGCTATTCACCTTATCTATGCCCGTCATGATATATAAATCTCTCTAAGATCACCCCTCAGCCTCCAACACTCCAGGGAGAAGATTCCCAGCCGATCAAGTCTCTCCTTATAACTCAGACCTTCCAGATTTGGCAACAACCTTGTAAATCTTTTTTTGGACCCTCTCCAGTTTAATAATATCCTGCCTATAGCAGGGCGACCAGAATTAGAAACAGTACTCCAAATATGGCCTTACCAATGGGACAACATTAATCGTTTTCCTGTCTTGTGGCACCTTGCCTTTGGCTGTTGATGAAAGAAACGTCTTTGCTACGGCCACAGCAATTTGTTCCCACAATGTTCTGGGATACATTTGCTCAGGTCACTTTATATGTTTTAAGACCTCCAGCACCTCCTCTTTTGTGATGTGGACTATTTCCCCAAGTTCCCTAGCTTCCATGTCCTTCTCCATAGTAAGTACTGACAAGAAATATTCATTTAGGATCTTGTAGAGTATAGAATCCGACAGAAGGATACAGGCCCTTCGGCCCAATTCAGACATGCTGACCAGGTTTCCTTAACTGCCCCAGACCCATTTGCCTGCATTTGGCCCATATCCCTCTAAACCTTTCCTATCCATGTACCTGTACAATTGTCTTTTAAATATTGTAATTCCATCCACTTCGACCACTTCCTCTGGCAGCTGGTTCCATATACACACCACCTTCTGTGTGAAAAGGTTGTCCCTCAGGTCCCTTTTAAATCTTTCCTCTCTCACCTTAAACCTATGCCCTCGAGTTTTGGACTCCCCTCCCCCGGGGAATAGGTCTTGGCTATTTTTCCTATCCATGCCCCTCATGCATTTATAGTCCTTGATAAGATCACCCCTTAGTCTAATATAATCCAGGGAAAGAAGTCTCAGCCTATCAGCCTCTCCTTATAACTCAAACCCTCCAATCTCTATAACATCCTTATAAAGCTTTTTTGTATCAGAGATAGTAGGAACTGCAGATGCTGAAGAATCTGAGATAACAAGGTGTAGAGCTGGATGAACACAGCAGGCCAAGCAGCATCGTAGGAGCAGGAAGGCTGACGTTTCGGGCCTAGACCATTCATCAGAACTGAGCTTTGGAGTTGGTAATCTGCCATCCTTACCCAGATGGAACTACATGGCCCATTTCTGATGAAGGGTCTAGGCCCGAAACGTCAGCTTTCCTGCTCCTACGATGCTGCTTGGCCTGCTGTGTTCATCCAGCTCTACACCTTGTTATCTCAAATCTTTTTTGTACCTTTTCCAGTTTAATAGCATCTTTCCTATAGCAGGACGACCTGAATTGTATGCAGTACTCCAAATATGCCCCCATCAATATCTCATGCAGCTGTAACATGACATCCCAACTCCTGTGCTCAATGCTCTGATTGATGAAGGCCAGCATGCCAAATGCCTTCTTAGCCACCCTGTCTACCTGTGACACCACTTTCAAGGAACGATGTATCTGCACCCCTGCATCACTCTGTTCAACGACACTCCCCAGGGCCCTACCATTAACTGTAAATGCTGTCCTGTAGAGTGCCATGCAGTTCCATCTGGGTAAGGATGGCAGATTTCCATCTCCAAAGGTCATCAGTGAAACAGAATATTCAGTGATAGTCAGTAATGGTCACCATTAGTGCAATTAGGTTTACATTCCTGATTCCATCAACTCATTGAGGCCACTTAGACAGCAGCTTCCAAACTTAAAACCACTGCCATCTCAAAGAAGAAGGGTTGTGGATACATGGGAACAACGCCATCTGCAAGCCTGCCTCCAGGCCACTCACCATCCCGACTTGGAAATATATTGTCGGTCCTTCAGTGTCGCTAGGTCAAAATCCTGAAAACAGCACCCATCCTAAGAGCATTCTGGGAGTAGCTATACCACACAGTCTGCTGTGGTTCAAGAAGGCAGCTCACCACCACTTTCTGGATTACATTTGAATGACAGGTTCAGTGATATTACCAGAAGACCATTTCTGAACGTAATGTGGATGACTACATTTCACACTATCAGATACCATTAGTGACAGAATGTTCTGAGTCGTGAGACAGAGGAAGACCAAACAGTAGAGAACTGCCATAATGAAACAGGCCAACAAAGGTCAGAAGGTACAGATCTATAAAAGTGAAATTAGGAGCTTAATGTTTCCTCAGAAACTGTTATACTCAGGGCACCCGTGGACGCTGTCCCTGACTGTTTGATTAGAAAAGCCATTGCAACAGCTGAATTCCATGCATTTCAGAAAAAGTATCTTCAAGCAATTATAACAGACTGTACTTTTATCTTGATAACTAACTGCTTATATCTGCATTTTAGTTAATAACTGCATCATTTTTACATTGTAACTTTCAGCAATAGTTGTGTGATAAATTATTTATCTTGTTTAAAACAAAAGTTTTGCCGTTAGCTATTTTTAAATTTGGAACATTCAACTGCTAAAAGAGGGTTAAATAAGGTACAAAAATTCACAGGTCACAGACAAGCCTGGTGCTCCAGCCAAGCAGGAAGGAGTGATCCCATCCATTCCTTGTTCTAGTCCTGTTCCGGCCCCCACCCACAACTCTTTCTCCGATACATTGATGATATCGTCGGCGCTTCCCTCTCTCATCTGGAATTGGAGAACTTCATCAATTTTGCCTCCAATTTCCACCCTGCCCTCACTTTCACCTGGTCTATCTCTGACTCCTCCCTTCCCTTCTTTGACATTTCTGTTTCCATTTCTGGGGATAGACTGGCCACTAATATCCATTACAAACCCACTGACTCCTACAGCTATCTGGCCTATACATCCTCACACCCTGCTTCCTGTAAAGACTCCATCCCATTCTCTCAGTTTCTCCGTCACATGTGTTCCGATGAGGCCAACTCCGATAAGGGAGCCTCCGAAATATCCACCTTCTTTCTCAACTGAGGATTCCCCAGCTCCGTTGTCGACAGGGCCTTCAATCAGGTCCGACCCATCTCCCGCACTTCCGCCCTCACCCCTTCTCTTCCCTCCCACAACAACAATAGGGTTCCCCTTGTCCTCACCTACCATCCCACCAGCATGCACATCCAGAAGATCATCAGACGCCATTTCCGCCATCTCCAGCGAGATGCCACCACCAGACACATATTCCCCTCCCCTCCCTTGTCTGTGCTCCGCAGGGACCGTTCCCTCTGGGACACCCTGGTCCACACTTCCTTCACCCCCAACACCTCCCCACAGCCCTACAGCACCTTCCCCTGTAACCGGTGAAGGTGCAACACCTGCCCATTTACCTCCTCCCTCCCCAGTATCCAAGGGCCCAAACATACCTTACAGGTGAAGCAGCACTTCACCTGCACTTCCCAGAATCTAGTCTACTGCATTCGCTGCTCACAATGTGGTCTCCTCTACATTTTTGAAACGAAGCGTAGACTTGGCAACCACTTCGCAGAACATCTATGTTCTGCTCGCAAAAAAGACCCTGAACTACCTGTTGCCTGCCACTTCAATGCATCACCCTGCTCCCTGCCCAACATCTCTGTCTCTGGCTTGCTACAGTGTTCCAGTGAAGCCCAACGCAAGCTGGAGGAACAACACCTCATTTTCGGCTTGGGGGCCCTACAGCCCCCCGGACTCAATATTGAGTTCAATAATTTTAGGGCCTAAACTCTCCCATGTCCCAGCCCCCTACTTCACACACCAGGCCTTGTTACCACATAACCTGCCACTACACACCCCCTGTTGTTAGTCACTAACAGTCCCCATTAACAACTACTCACCCTCCCAGCCCGATCGTTAGCAACTCCTTTGTCTGTCCAACTGTCTTTCTCTCTCTTTGGGCTCTATCCTATCGTTTACTCCCTACCCCACCCACCTCCCTATTTTCTGCATATAAACTGATGTTTTCCCAGCTGCTATCAGTACAGGAAGGGTCACCGGACCCGAAACGTGAACTCTGTTTTTTCCTTCACAGATGCTGTCAGACCTGCTGAGCTTTTCCAGCAACTTTGTTTTTGTTCCTGATGTATCGCTGAGGCTGAATAAGGCTCTGGTCAGACCATATTTGGAATATTGCGAGCAGTTTGAGCAACATTTGTAAGGAAGTATATGCTGTCATTAGAGGGATCCAGAGGATGTTTACAAGAACAATCATGGGGATGAAGGGCTTGTCACAGGAGGAAGGGTTGAGGACTCTGGGTGTGCACTCGGAGCTTGGAAGGATGAGGGGGGAATACAGAATACTGAGAGGCCTGGACAGGGTAGATGTGAAGAAGATATTTTCACTAGTAGGAGAGGCTAGGACCTGAGGGCACAGCCTCAGAATGAAGGGACAACCCTTTACAACAGAGATGAGGAGGAATTTCTTCAGCCAGAGGGTGGTGATTCTGTAGAACTCATTGCTGCATGAATCCTGAAGAAGGGTCCCGACCTGAAAAGTCAACTTTCCTGCTCCTCTGTTGCTGCCTGGCCTGCTGTGTTCCTCCAGCGACAAACATCCAGTTGTTTAGCTGTTAATGGGATGCAATATGTACACTGTTTAAATTAAGCCAAATGTAGTCCTGTAATCGGAGGCCCCAGTCATTGAGCCATCAAAGAGCAACCTACAGCCAAACCGTGGTACAAGCCTTTCCAAAGATCCCAGGCTGGGCTGATAATCCAATTGCTACATTACACTGAGTCTTGATGATAAGTGATCACCAACCATGTTCACCCAGAATGAGATGAGCTAAACTTCTTTTTTTCTGAGGAAGGGTCACCGGACCTGAAACGTTAACTCTGTTTTTTCCTTCACAGATGCTGCCAGAAACAACTTTGTTTTTGATCCTGATTTACAGCTTCTGCAGTTCTTTTGTTTTTAAACTTATTTCTTATTGTCCTGAAACAGTTTGGTTGCTTTGATGGTTTTTAGCAATAGGAAATAAGTTTCTCCTTGTAACCGAGTTCAAAATTAGTGGCTGCATTCATACACTGGCCATAAATAAAACTGCTTTTAATGGTCACCCCAGCACTAGGGGGAGCAGCGAGCAGACATGTGCAGAAAGGCAACGTCTAAATGAGGACCTCTCTGAAAATGGGCAAGACTGTCGGAAGTGCAGGGACTTTGCAGTAAATTTCTACCTGTTACATTAAGGTGAACAGTATCATTAGGGAAGGTGTTAGCCTAGTGGTAACATCATTCAACTAGTAATCCAGACCTGCAGGTTAATCTTAAAAACTCACTGCAACAGATACTGAAATATCAGTTCAAAAAAAAAATCTGGTGCTAAATGTTAGATTAATGGTGCAACTTGCGTTGATTGTTGCTTTAAAATAAAAACTGCAGTCAGTTGGTAGTGTGCATTAATGTGCTGTAAATCTACAGCCAGCGGGCAGTTGAAATTGGCAATTGCAGCTGACATATCTAAAACAAAAAATGCATTTTTAAACCTGTTCTTTGGAAAAAGCTGCATGGGCCACTTCTGTGTTAGCCCTATCGGAGCTGGAAATTTCCTGGCTGGGTGGGAGGTGTTGAAAGAGCATGTGTGTCAGGAGCTAGGTCACAGCTGTATTCAATAACATGGAACCTGAGCCTGGGTCTACAGGGATCCAGTGACATTGCCCTCTCCCTCAATCCTCACTGTACAGTTCTGTCCATTAAAGCTGGTCACTGTTCACTCCTGGAAGTGTAGATTTCATCTTACTACAGAGCAGTCCTCAAAAAGCTAGGCGTCTCTGTAACATAGCCATAACTATTATAGGGTTTTGTAAAATGGTCAAACTATAACATTGGACCAAAATTCTTCAGATATCTTTTGAGGATTCAGACAATGGTTCAAGTACTTGCCAAACACGGCATGCATTTTAATCCAGTAACGTGAGCGTCATAAAATCCGATTTTTGGTCTCATGGGTTTGAATCTCAGTCACAATTAGGACAATTATTAAGGATTTCTTCTTTGCTCATGAATGTTCAACAAATGGAGCAGATCTTCCAATAAAGGGGTGTGAACAAAATACATGGAATCACCCAACAGCCAATTGGCTTCAGTTTGGGGCTGTGGGTCTGTGATATCCTAGTAACTTTCCTCACCTTGTGATCAGATGCAGTATTGATGTGTCCGAGGCTGTGAGTCTCTTTCTGGTTGATTTATTGCCCAAGTATCACCCACCATTTGGACAAAAGCTTCAGATAATTACTGCTTTCTAGTCAGGTTTGAAGGACAAGAACTTGTTCACATCCCTTCCCTCCAAATTTCACAGGGAACTTTAGCCCTGAATTTCTCCAGGAATCATCTGCCCTAATCATCAGGAGGTGATTGGCTGAAAGTTGGTTGAGACAATGGAAATGGCCAAACCTGTTGATCATAAACTGGGATCATGCAAAAAAACCAAGGAGCCCATGTTTTAATTTGGACCATTTGCTCAGTGTACGCAGCCGTACATCGGTTCCCAGTTGAACAACACCGATTTAAAGTTCTCATCCTTAATTTCAAATCCCTAAATGACCTTACTTTATCCACTTCTTTGTATTCTCCTCCCATTCCACAACCCACTGAGAACTCTGTGGTCCCCTATTCTGAGGGTGACACAGTGGCTTGGCAGTCAGCACTGCTGTCTCACAGCACCAAGGACCTGGCTTTGATTCCACCTTCGGGTGACTGCCTGTGTGGAGTTTGCACATTCTTCCTGCGTCTGCGTGTGTTTCCTCCGGGTGCTCCGGTTTCCTCCCACAGTCCAAAGATGTGCATTTTAGGGTGTATTGGCCATGCTAAATTGTCCCAGAACGTGCAGGCTAGGTGGTCTAGCCATGGTAAATGCAGGGTTACAGGGATGGGATGGGATGCTCTTCAGCGGGGTGGTGTGGACTCGATGGGCTGAATGGCCTGCTTCTACACTGTAGGGATTCTATGATTGACTTCTTGAGCATCCCTGATTCTAGCTTCGGATTCAAGCTTCCTTCCAAATCTCTGCCTCACTTTTCTCCTCCCTCTTTGAAGAAACTTTTGGCCAACTGACCTAGCCTCCTGTGATACTTCAATGTGTCCAAGAGGCTATATAACTTCAAGTTGTTGTTGTTCATTTTCCTTGAGTTTCCACCAATCTCTTATCCCGATACATTTGGACCTGTGACAATAGCATTTGTTGCACTTTACAAGTGATTAAAACAAATGCTTTTGAGCTGAGTTGAAGTTGGGAAAATCTTACCATCCATTTGCTGAAATCACTGATTCATAGTGAAGTTATTTTTGAGGATGCTGTTTTGGTTTATCAATTTTAATAATTCGATTTCAGTACTTGAATTATAGAGTGATGGTGGATGTACTTACCTTGTCCATACCGGCTAAACTCTCCTGCCCTGCAGTCACTGTCAGATTCACACTTTTCGGAACTTTGAAGCTATTGATGAGATAACGAAACAAATTAGTTTTCCACCATTATCATTCCCATTCATACCATTCACCATTGAAGAATACCAACTTGAATGGGAGCCTTGGTTCAGTGGATAGTCCTCACATTTCAATGAGCCAGGTATGAAATTGAGGCTGACTATAGCCTAGGATTGAGGGAGTCTGCATTTTCCCGAGAGAGTATACTGAGAAAACAGAAGCTCAACTGAATGTCAGATACACTCCCAATGGGAGTTGATGCTAGACTGATCTCTATAAAACCAGCTGCCTGAAAGCCTAAAACCCAAATAATTATATGTTTATAGTTCATTACTTGATACCCTTAAGAGGTCAATATCCATATTAAGTCTTAACGTAACCATTCAAAACATATGAATCTAACGTATTTTCTGATCAGTCTAATGAGGGATCATAGAGGGGAGCATGTAGAGGTTGGCTTGATTCTAATTGGAGGCATTGGTCTGAGCTGCTCCATTGTTCTAAATATGGCAAACTAGGCCAACCAATAGAATTCCTGTCCTAAAGATGGCACCCACCATTTTCATAGGGAGCTAATACGGACAGTTCATAGTGTAAAATGGGCGGGTTAAGGGGTGCTTGTGGCGCAGTGACACTGTCCCTACCTCTGGGACAGAGGTTCCTAGTTCAAATCCAACCTAGCCTTGAGGTGTGTCATGGGTTGTTCAAACAGGATGATGAAAGTATCCTAACATAAGCATCTTAGCTCCATTGTGCACGTTACCCCCCAACATTTCTGAATGGAGTCATTCTGTCTGAGGTCCCAGTGCAAGCAGCAACTCACCTGTGTACAGTGCATCATGGACTGCCTCGGGGTCACAATATAATTGGTCATTATAACAAAGGAGTCTGATCCCTAAAAGAAAGAAAGAAACACAGTTACATGGTGAAGGATCACAGCAAGACACTCCTGGTTTCTTTCTGACAGTATCTGATTTGTTGACCATTCACATCTCTTATTTTGATTTCAAGCCTGAAGTCCTTTTAGTTTTTTTTTTATATGCTAGCTCACACAACATGTCACAGAGAGTCAGGTTCTATTGAGACTGATATCTTGAAGTTTATTTACATCATTGACTATTTAGATAGCAATAATATTACACATATAAACACACATAGTCTGGTTTCAATGTTTACTGATATCACTGTATATTACACACATAACCAACTGGGGGGTGGTATGGTGGCTCAGTGGTTAGCACTGCTGCCTCACAGCAAAGGGACCCGGGTACAATTCCACCCTCGGGCGACTGTCTGTGTGGAGTTTGCACACTCTCCCCGTGTCCGCGTGGGTTTCCTCCAGGTGCTCTGGTTTCCTCCCATGGTCCAAAGATGTGCAGGTTAGGTAGTTTGGCCATGGGACATATAGGATCACAGGGATGGGATGGGATGGGTCTGGCTGGGAAGCTCTTCAGAAAGTCAGTGTGGATTCAATGGGCCAAATGGCCTGCTTCCATACTGTGTAAGAATTCTATGACTGACTACTCTGATTGTACTACACATGGACAGAGAGTGACTAAAGGTGAGGTGGGTACTTTAATATCAGATGTCGTGTCTGAATAATGGTGTTTTTCTGGTTGGTGGTCAGTGGTTAGTGGTGTGCCTCAGGGATCAGTGTTGGGACCGCAATTGTTTACAATTTACACTGATGATTTAGAGTTGGGGACCACGTGTAGTGTGACAAAGTTCACAGACGACAGTAAGATGCGTGGTAGAGTAAAGTGTGCAAAGGACACTGAACATCTGCAGAGAGATATAGAAAGATTAAGTGAGTGGGCAAGGGTCTGGCAGATGGAGTACAATATTGGTAAATGTGAGGTCATTCATTTTGGTAGGAATTACAGCAAAATGGACTATTATTTAAATGGTGTCCTTAAGCATGAATTACAAAATGTTGGTTTGCAGGTGCAACAGGTGAGTGGAATTTTGACCTTCATTGTGAGCAGGATTGAGTTTAAAAGGGGTGAGGTTATGTTACAGCTGTATAAGGTGCTGGTGGGGACACACCTGGAGTGCTCTGTGTAGTTTTGGTCTCTTTACTTGAGAAAGGATGTGCTGGCACTGGAGGGGGTACAGAGGAGGTTCACTAGGTTGATTCTGGAATTGAGGATTGGCTTATGAGGAGAGACTAAGTAGACTGGCATTATATTCATTGAAATTTAGAAGAATGAGGGGGGAATCTTATAGAAACATATAAAATGATGAAGGGAATAGATAAGATAGAAGCAGGAAGGCTGTTTCCACTGGCAGGTGAAATTAGAACTAGGGGGCATAGCCTCAAAATAAGGGGGAACAGAATTAGGACTGAGTTGAGGAGGAACTTCTTCACCCAAAGGGTTGTGAATCTGTGGAATTCCCTGCCCAGTGAAGCAGTTGAGGTTTCCTCATTGAATGTATTTACGGCAAAGGTAGATTTTTGAACAGTAAAAGAGTTAAGGGTTGTGGGGAGTGGGCAGGTAGGTGGAGCTGAGTCCATGAAAAGATCAGCCATGATCTTATAGAGTGGCGGAGCAGCCTCGATGGGCCAGAAGGCCTACTCCTGCTCCTAGTTCTTATGTTCTTATGTCACATAACTGTCCTGAAGGCCTGTCCAGTCTTTGGACTTTTTTTGTCCCTGATTATTTCCAACTGAATTCAAACAGCCATGGCAGGATTTGAAATATGAATCCAGTAAAGGCACTATTTTATTTGTACAGGAAAATATGTAGAAAAAACAGCTTCAAAGGATCACACGACAAAAAAAGCATTTCAGTAGTTTGTGGCCTACAGGTCCCACCACCAGAACAGGCAGTGTACACTAGAACTGAAACCGCTCACACATTCGGCCTGCTGCTCATCCAAGTGTCTTGCTATCTCTTCACCTCACTCATTCAAACCTTTTATGTTCATGTCCAGCGGATGTTCAATCCAATTGGTTACTGCCCACAGTTAGGGCAAGTTCCATCTCCTGGTTGGTGCCTGATGCGTGTTGGGCATAATGGAGGTGTGCTGAGTGGGAGATTCATTAATACTTCAAAGTATGAATGGTTGAAGGGCATTGTCCCACTGCTCTGACCTGGGCATAAGCACATAAATTCCAAGATGGCAGGGGAGTAGGTCTCCTCACCAGAGCTCATCCAATCCAACTGCTTTTCTTTCTTTTCTTTCTTCTTCTTTCTTCTTTTCTCACTTTTCTCTTTCTTTCTTTTGGTTCTTTGGTCTTTGAAGCTTGGTTGTGGAAACAGCTGGGGGACGTTGCCAGTCGTCCACGAGGCTGTTGGTCACTGTTGGTGGCATTGTGGCTTCACCGATGGAGCAGTGCAGGAGCGGGACTCTGCAGAGAGGTGGCTGATGCGGCTACAGAGCGTGGCAGCGGCTGGGGCACCGTGCGGACCCGCATGGTAGCAGTAGTGGTTGGTGGTGAAAGATGGCAGTCAGTGGCGAGTGGCGGTGAGGCCTGGGGTGTCACATGGAGCCCAGGAGCGGTGGTCGGTGGCAAAGGGCAGCTGGTGAGCACAGGTGGGTCTTAGCCCAGTGCAGGAAAGCATGCCCGGCACGGGGGAGAGTGAGCCCCGTTGGCCCATGGCTTAAGAAAGGACCGTAATGATTGACTTTTTAATTTTATTTCTTTATTTTCCATTTTTATACTAAGAAGACAATAGTGTTGAGTTTTTAAAACATATTTCTTTACTTTTCTACTTCTGTAATAAAGATTTTGTACCTAGATATTTTGTGCCTAAGATGGTGTTGTGTGTGGTGATATTTTACACTAGTAGGTGTACATTTGTACCCCATACTTGGGTGCACATGACAATCAAACCTATATCTAAATCCAAAGCCTAGGACCAGAGGGCATGGTTTCAGAATTAAGGGGTGCCAATTTAACTCTGAGATGAGGAGGAATTTCTTTTCTCAGAGGGTTGTGGAAGTCTTTGCCATAGAGAGCTGTGGGAGCGGAGTCCTTGTGTATACTTCAGGCTGAGATAGATTCGTCATCAGTCGGGGAATCAATGTTTACGGGGAAAGGGCAGGAGAGTGGATGTGAGGTACGTCTGATCAGCCATGATCCTGTTGAATGGCGGAACAGGGTCTAGGTGCCTGGATGGCGTACTCTGTTTCTATTTCTTATGGTCTTATTAAACCCGTATAGTCCCCAGGAGACCTGGCAGTGAAATAGATCAGGGCGCGTATTCTTTGGTAGGAGGCAAGGGGCAGCAATAGAAATTGCTCACAGATTTTACAGAGTTGTTCCCAGTTCCTAGTTTTGTTTTTGGTCAATTAGAAACGTGGGGATTACCAGAGAGGGGAAGACCCAGTCAGGTCAGCACTTCTTCATGTCACATGTTACAGCAACAATGAAATGGTTCACTTGTCATGAAAACCAATCCCGATTAACCGGTCCAAAACGTTCTGTAAATTGTTGTCCATTGTTTATCTTTTCTGCCCAGTTCCATTTCCTGCCATCAGGAATTCACTAAACTGCTGTACTTACAGAAACAAAATCTCCAGATGGGTGTCAGGCAGGTCAGGAGGGAACTGTGAAGTTACTGGACATCCCCAGGACACAGATACCATCCCAGGATTCCACCCCTCAACCAGCCCAGATCCCAGGTCCTTAGTTATACAAGATCCAGATCACAGGGCCCTGGCCCCTGAGAGATGTCCTCCGCAGGCCCCAGAACTCTGACACTGACCACAGCACTCTGACCCCCATGTCACTGAGCCCAAGTGCACGGTTCTCCAGCTTTTCCCTGAAGATTGTGACAGCCAGGCTATGATCACCCACCCCAGCCCAGGATTCTGCCTCCTCCCAACTCTAAAACCCTCTTTGTGTCCCCTTCACTGACTTCTGACACGGATCCCCTGAAGACAATTCCAGGATTCTGGCCTGCAGGAGTCAGGAGGAATTTGTCCCATGAAATGATGTGACCTCGTTTTGAAACAGTACAGAGTATGAGGACCCAGCTATAGAAAGACTAATAAGGCCATTCAGTTCATCTCCTCAAGATTGGTTTTCATTTTAATCAACCTGTTCAGAGATGTCATGACACAGCAGGTGGGACTTGAACCCAGGCCTCCTGGCTCAGAGGTAGGGACACTGCACCAAAAGAGGCCTTATCCTCTCATTTCTAAACCAGTCTCACCTGTGATGGGAAGGAATAGTCAACAGCGTCCAAAATCTGCGGGCCAATTTTAGAGAGGTTCGTGAAGCCGATGCCTTTCACTTTAACTGAAACGGAGCTTATGGTGGAATCAGTGGACTGATAGCCTTTCTCGTAGATGAAAACCCATCTGCAAGACAAGGAAGGAAAACTGCATGGTTACCCTGTCTAACACCACATCCCCTAATGTATTCATGAACAATGATGACCCACTCACCCATCTGATATGTTCCACACAACCTGTAAATCACAACCCCACTGAATGGTTACAAACCCAGGTCAATTAGAGCAAAACCATCTTCTATCCAACCCCTTTGAATGATCTGAATGGGAGGCGATGGCCTAGTGGTATTATCGCTGGAGTGTTAATCCGGAGACACAGACAATGTTCTGGGGACCTGGATTTGAATTTTGCCATGGGAGGTAGTGGAATTTGAATTCAATAGAAATCTGGAATTGAGTCAAAGATGATCATGAAATGATTGTCAGGAAAAACCCACCTGGGTCACTCATGTCCTTTGAGGTCAGAAATAAAACAACACCAGGTTATGGTCCAACAGGTTTATTTGAAGACACAAGCTTTCATCTTCAAATAAACCTGTTGGACTATAACCTGGTGTTGTTTGATTTTTGACCTTGTCGACCCCAGTCCAACACCGGCACCTCCACATCATGTCCTTTAGGGAAGGAAACTGCCACCCTTATCTGGTCAGGCCTACACGTGACTCCAGACCCAGAGCAATGTGGCTGACTCTTAATGGCCCTCTGGGCAATTAGGATTGGGCAATAAGTGCTGGCCTGGCCAGTGATACCCTCCTCCCATGAATGAATAAAAAACAAACCAATTAACAATAAACTGGGAGACCACTCCAGCTCTAATTAATGTTTCCAAAGGGTTACAAACAGAATTAGTTCCATAACTTTCATGGACTGGGTCACAGGGTCGTTGGGATCACTGCTGGTTGGCTAACATGATCCTTATCCCAGTCACCCTGCCTCACACCAAGGACAACTCATTGGAAACCAGGCTGACAGAATCAGCATTGCTACAGGCTATAATTTCAAACTGTTGCACAGCAGCAAATGCTCACTGCCCCTAGAGACCTGACACTTCTTTTTTGGTGAATGAAAGCATTTCAGGATTGACCCATTGCTTTCTGGATCCACAGGACAACAGGTGTAAACATAGATCCATCTTTCTGGAAGGGAAAGGGCACAAGGGAGCAGATGTAGCACAGTTTGTTTTGGGCAGAGTTTCAGTGATGCTAGACAACAAGGTGCAGGGCTGGATGAACACAGCAGGCCAAGCAGCATCATAGGAGCAGAGAGGCTGACGTTTCGGGCCTAGACCCTTCATCAGAAAAGGGTTTCAGAGTTTCAGTGATGCTATCCTAGTCTAGGGTTAAGGTTGGCACTCTCACCCCAAGTCAGAAAGTTGTGGTTACAAGCTTCAGTATAGAGATTTGAAGATGAAATCTAGGCTGACGCTACGGTGCAGTACTGGGGCAGTGCTGCTCTGTCAGAGGTTCTGTCTTTCAGATCAGGCTTTTAAGACCCTATTTACCTGTTTAGCGTGACTTAAAGAGATCTCATGATACTATTTCTAAGAAAAGCAGAGGAATTCTCCCAGTGTGCAGACAGGATCTCATGGAGATGCAGATGAGCCTCTGAGGTAAACTATGATGTCACTGACAGTAGTCATGTGATAGAGACTCTGCTAGAAGGTTGGAACCAGAGTATAGATAACACATAATGGCACCCATTAACATTTGAGATCAAATAATAGAGACAGATGATGTGCAACTCTTTTCTCAGCATTAGCACATTAGGAATGTAAGAACGGATGAAATGACATACAAACTAAACTGCCCCCTTCCACCACGGTAGACCCTCACCCTATCCATTTCATTCTCTCAATGATAGTTCCTGTGGAAGTGTTTCCTAATCTCCAAAGTAATTTGGCCAAACCACAGAAAATTCATTCATTTGATCTCTCGACATAAAGGTTTGAGAATAGAGGAAATAAGATGCTGGGCTTTCCAATGCTGAACTTTCATTGTCATAATGTGGGCAAGGTCACAGAACTGGCTTTCAAAGATGCCACTGCATACATGCTGATTTAACTCATCTTGTGTTCCTTCGAACGGTGCTCTGGTATGACCAGAAGGTTCAATTCCATGTGTTACCTTTTTTTCACATGTTTAATTTTCCCATCTGTGTGGCTTAGGTGTCTCAGGGAGTGTAGCTCTCTCACTTTTGAGACAGAAGATCACAGGGTCACAGACTTGCTCAGCACAAAGATCTTGGCTGACAATCAGGTGACTTCAATTTAAGGTAAAATCGAGTGGACTGTTACAGGGTTTGGCTACCTGAATCTGTGATCAACACGCTGAGCAGGTCCGATTGCAATTATTCACGCTGAACTAAATGCTGTCTCCATGATTCTTTTTACAAATGTGTTCACAAGTTGTCTAGGTGTAGAGGGATGACAGTGAATTGATGCATTAATCAGTCCCGATCTAAAATTGACTTCTATTAACTTCAATGAAGATAAATCTCAGGAGAGATACTGCTGTTTGGCTATCACCCTTTAAAGTGTGACACAAAGTCAAGTCCTACTTTTTCAAATAAAACTCACAGAAGATGTTGAGGGAGTAAAACATTGATAGGCATTGCCAACTTTGGAGGTAAAAATCTGACCAAAACGATGGACATAAAGCTGATAAATTGTGCCAGGATTGTTGTCAGCTCTCTGGTATCAGGAAGGACATTTATCACAACCCCACTTTGAAACCTCATTCAGCCAATCAACCAGTGAATAGTAAATGAGTCCGTTTGACAACTGCAAGTGGCCCCATGTAGCTGTGAAAGAAATATTCTTAATTACCCAGCACAAATCCACAGAGGAATTGAAGCAGTCAGTTGGGACACCACCTATTGATCACACTTACTGCTGCGTGCTTTAATGAAGAGCATACTCCTCTCAGTATTATGGCCTCTAAGACATTTTAGCAGCATGACTACAATCTCATTAACATCACAATGCTAAGCAAATACCTGGAGTCCTCCTGTTAGAACACATCTTGGACAAAGCTCACATCAATCTGGTGACTGTTCAAGCGTGGAACTCGATGTTAATGATCAAGTTGCAGCTTTGTGTCAAAAGGCTGCAAATTCCTTAAATCTGCAAGAATATTTTACTTACTGGATTGAGAAACCAGCGGGATCAGAAGACTCCTCCCACTCTGTTCCTGCTGCCTTCCCCCTTGGCAGTCACCAATGCCCCCCCCACCACCAGTGCCCCCCACCCCACCACCACCACCACCACCACCACCACCATGTTGGATTCACTCTGGTGTTGCAGCTCCTGCTAGCAACCTTTCACCTCCTGTGTGACCTGTGCACTGTCTCTAAGGGCTTCACAGCCAATTAATCACATTTGAACTGTGTGCAATCATATAATTACCATCCCAACACAAAATAAACACACATTTCTATCATTACAGTGCTTTTCTTTCATCCATTCACATAGTATGGGAATTGCTGGATGGCTAAGCACTTATTGCCCATTCCTAATGGTCCCACCTTTCCCTTCTCTCTAACCTCCTCCAGCCCAACATCCCTCCAAGATATTTGCACTCCTGTCTTTGGGCAAGTGAGGCCTGAGTGACATGGGAACCAATTGTTGGATGGGACTGAATCGACAGAGAATTGGGATAATGGTGCTTTCTCCAACTGGAAGAAGCTGACTGTGCTGGTGCCACAACAACTCATTGTATTTATTAATACAGACAACACAATGGAGGAGGTGGTGGCGAACTGGTAATTGACTAGTAACCCAGAGACTCAGGCTAATGCTCTTGGGATCTGGATTCAAATCCTACCACATCTAGTTCACTAATAATTCCAGTCCACTGTGTAAATGTCAATCTAAAGAGGGTCACTTTCTAAGTGGCAGACTGGGGAGGCGATGGTCTAGTGGTATTATTGCTGGACCTATTAATCCAGAAACTCAACTGATGCTCTGGGGGCCCAGGTTCAAATCCTGCTGTGGCAGATGGTGAAATCTGAATTCAATTAAAATATGTCTGGAATTAAGAATCCACTGAAGACTATGAAACCATTGTCAGTTGTCATGAAAACACATCTGACCCACTAACGTCCATTAGGGAAGGAAGTCTGCAATCCTCTCATGGTCTGGCCCACATGTGACTTCAGACTCACAGCAACTGCCCTCTGAAATGGCCTACCAAGCCGCTCAGTTCTATTAATTACTATAAAGTCTCAACAAGAAAATGAAATTGGACAGACCGCCTAATGTTGACCCAGGCACCAGAAAAGACAACGGCAGAAACAGTCCTGTCAACAGCGTAAAATCCTCCTCATTAATATCTGGGGGCTAGTGCTAAAATTAGGAGTGCTGTCTGACAGAGCAGTCAAGTAACAGGCTGATATAGTCATACTCACAGAATCATACCTTACAGACCATCACCATCCCTGGGTAAGTCCTGCAGGACAGATCCAACAGGGTGTACTATCTACCAAGATGCTCTGCAGAAATTCACCAAAAATCCTTAGACAGATCCTTCCAAACCCACGACCACTTCCATCTAGAAGGACAACAGCAGCAGATACAGGGGAACACCACTGCCTTCAGGCTCCTCTCCAAGGCACTCACCATCCTGATTTAGAAATATATTGCCATTCCATTACTGTTGCTGGATCAAATTCCTGGAACTCCCTCCCTGATGGCATTTTCGGTCAACCTACAGGACATGGACTGCAGCGGTTCAAGAAGGCAGCTCATCACCACCTTCTCAAGGGTAACTGGGGTCAGGCAATAAATCAGCAATGCCCACATTTCACAAGTGAATAAAAAAAGTCTATGGGGGCTAAACCTGGATAATCAGTTTGACTTCAAACATGAAGACATGACCGGATCATCTATTGATGTGATCAATGACATAGATTAGTCTCCAGGTGTGGGCAATTTTGGGATGTCGTCAAGTTCCTCATATCAACACATTAATGCCTCCAGTTTCACCGAATATCAGACAGTTGTGATTTGTCATCCATGCTGAGGTATGAGAGGAGCTAAAACAATTTTGAAGCTGATGGTGTCATTGAAAA